GGGTTTGAGGTCGATGCTGACTCGGGGTCCGGAAATGACTTGGGCTCGGTATTGGTTGGCCTCTGGCCCTTAAGCTCGATTCAATCACATCTCATCATAGTTCGATTCGGACCCGAGCTCGATAATGACTTCGAGCTCGGTGTTTAATCTGTACCTGAAATCTGAAGCTCGTGTATGCCATCTTCGGATCCATTTCGATTTTATGAAGACTTTTTTCGGTCCATTATGATCCATCTCGATCAGACGTATGAAGGCCGAAATAAGTTTCGATCGTATACATATCTATTTTGGAAAGAAGCACTTTCGACAATAAAACAACATGGCCAAACAGGCTACTAGACTGGCCGGCCTCTTTCCTCTTCAATCAAGTGACTTTCTTATTGTACTTATCATTTTACAAGTTAGATAGTAAAGACTAATAAAGACTGAATCCATGGACTGCATGCAAGAATCTTAGGCTTCGTCCAGAATCATAATTTAACATCTCAGTCTTTTCATTATTGGGCTGGGTCCGTGCCAAGCATGTGCTATCAACATCTAGTCTTACGCTTCGGCCTGATTGAACACCACTCAATTTAACCCAAATAGCCGCCCACCTAACCGTTTAAACTAAATATAACATGTCTAAGTATAATATATGTATAATTTATGTATTATATATATATAATTATATATAATCAATGTATAAATTATGTATATAGCTAAAACAAATTAAAAATAAAATATATGACCGACTATTTATATAAAGATTCTACCTTAAACCCACTTGTGTAAAAGTTGTTATTTGTGTAAAGATCCTATTATGAAGCCGTAATGGGAGTTGGTACGCTAGAAGCAAGAGAGATCACGGACCTCCAAAGCTGCGGCAATATGTGAAGGGTGCATGTGATCTTATCCAAGATTAATTATTCCGTATTTACTATCTTTATACCTCTCCATTATAATTTCGGAATTATACCATAATTATCTCCTAACCAAATATGAGATAAACTTCTTAAATTTAATTTCAAATTAGTTATTTCTGGTTACTTCCTCGAAATAAGAAAGAGCATTTTTTCCTATTTATTTGACCCTCTTGTAAGCCACTTCTTCAGCTTGAAGTCAGAAGTCATTGGGCGGAAGTGGAGAAACAACACTTGCTAAAAGAAATTCCTTTTAGCAACTCAATATTAGGCTTTGGAGTTTTTTTAGCCAGAGTTGTTTTCCCTCTTCTCAACTCTGTAGATCTGCAGAACTTTATTTCTCTATTTATGCCTTTTTCACTTTTTTTGTTGAGTAAAAGTTATTTTTTCGGGATCTGTTCAGATATTTTCCTTATTCCGTTTGGGGATCACTGAGAAGTTCATTTCATCTAATATAGGTTGATTCCTACGGCGAAATTGAATTAGTGTTTCCAATTTCTCGTCTCCTCAATTTTTTTTTGTTTCAGTTTAGGTTGCTTGAGCTTGCTAACTGTATTCTTCATTTTTTTTTGTGAGCGCGTACTGGTCAGGATGATGAAGAAGACTATAAACAACCAAGCCATGGAACTGAGCTACCTGCTTGAAAAAATTGATACAGTAAGTGCTATTCTACATTCAGATTTATTCTTATTGATTTGACTATTGAGCTTGCTGCTTTGTTTTTTCACACTATGAAGTTACTCTCCCGTTTACTAACGACATTAGCTGTTCCTGCTCAGCCATACCACCTAGTAGTAAAAGAAGACTTGTAGAATAAACATTTACAGAGAACATAACTGATACAAGGCATCACTGTTCTGTTTTAATATTTGGACCTTCCACTGGTTAAGAAGACTGGGCGTTTTCATTAACAAGTAGACAACAATTAGTATAGTGATTGTTGTTGACTTGTTGACGCTTTCCCCTTTCTGTGATAATCTATTGCTTTGAATTCTCAATTATCCCCAACCATAAAGTGAAGGGAAGGCCAAAGTGGTTAAGATGATCCTAATTCCTAAGAACCAAAAGTCATGCAATTGACTTGAAATAAAATTTTCTATTAATTTTGTTTTACAAGAGGATGCAACGTATTGATTCACACAAACTTAGGATGTATTTAATTGGATATTCATGAATGAGCATGGCTAAAGAGTAAGGTTCTGAAGTACCAAACAATCTCCCCTTTGTCATTCTTTGAGAAGTATAATTATAACCACTTGCACTTAGACATCTATATTAATAAAACATTCTTTAGCATCCTTAAACCAACTAGCTGACATGTACATAAGATGAAGGATGGTATTATGTTTATTTGTGGACCACTATAAAAGAAGAAACATACAAACTCCTTAAAGATTGTACCCAGTTTTGAAATATACAAGCAGTGGATCTACTTGATGAACACTGATTCATTAAGTATTTCCCTTTTGGTCATGCACTAAGGAATGAATCACAAGAACAACACATCCATTTAACACAAACGAGGGGCTCTTATTCTCTGGACGATATAAATTAAAGGACACAGGGAGTTGCCTTGGGTATAGCAAACCAACCCTCCCAAGAAGGTAACTATGTCTAATTAGAACATTACTGACCAAATGACAATGTCGACTTAGGATAGAAGGTGCCTCCCTTTAACACAAAATAATATACTATTAACAAATATGAGTTTCTAACTGAGTAGAGGTAAGCTTATATTTTATATCACCAAATTGTGAACTCATGAAAAGCTTAAAATATGCATATTCCGGAGTCAAACAAACAAATGATGTCCCACTTATGAACAAGATCAAGATGAATGCCCTATTATTATTTTATTTTTGGTGTAAAGAGGAATTTACCGTCAATACTGAATCTATCCTAGAGATTTTAGAATCCTTGTAAGTTGTATAGGATATATGACTAAATGGAAAGTTAGCTCAAAAGAACGACTTTAAATGTTGGCATGAGTTTAGCAAGAATAGAAATTAACAGTCATGAGATAGAATTCTGATAGAAACTTTCGAATTGAATTTAACACGAAACTTACATATTACTGAAATTACATTAAAAAGGGAAAACATTATGTGAGCTGATTGCTTCCCTGTTCTTATTTACTGTATTTTAGTGTCCAGGTTCAAAAGGAAAATTCTGCCCCTGTTGCGGTCAAGGAAAATTATTGGGCGTGAAAGATAAGATGTGTATTACACTATTACAAACTTGTAAGTCACCACTGATTCAAGATATGATCATGACAAAGCAGCCTATAATTTTTAAGGCTTTGATTCAGCGGCAGAAGTCATGGTTAACGGGCGAAAACCATGATCAAGACTAGCTTTCCACACTCTTTCAATATCAAACATCATATTACCACACTCATTCTCATTCCAGCCTTCCAATGCGTGCAAAATCCCTGCTATTCTTGATGCACTCATCACCCTTCTTGGTAGCCAGTTCTGGGGTTATAATATTAGTCATAAGTTTACTTTAATTATCCGAAAAGATCAAACAAAAAATTTAGGAATTTAAAATTATCTTCTCTAACCTCACAAGAGTCTACATTTTCAAGTTGTTTTGGGATAGTCATGGCTGGTGTGCTGAAGTAGATGCAATCCTTGCGAGCTTTCCTTGGTGGAAACTGTGAAAAAGGAATAAACAATGTTCCTTTTGGTGCTTTCAATTGTTCATCTTCACTCAATCTGTCCCCTACTAGCCATATCTGCAATACAATACTTCAATCAAGAACTATTTTCTGCGAGACCGTGGGGTGAGGGAGAGGGAGAGGGAGAGGGAGAGGGAAGAGTTCTCTTTTTTTGTTTGAATTTTTTGAAATCTAAAATGGTTCAGAGGTCAATTATGAATTAGTCTGGATTAGGAGAGAAGGGGGAGGGGAATGGAGTTGTTATAAATTATCAAGATTCAGGAAAGTATTATCTGATGTATTATGGTTTATACCTTTGACGCATTAGTCTTTGAAAGGACCAAATTGGTAGCAACCTTGGGGGTAAGCCTTGCTTTAAGTCTCTTGAACTCTTCTCCGTCTAACATGACAACCTATATGTTAAAAAAATTCAATGAATGAAAGTCTGGGAAACCAAAATCATGGAGGAGATTAAGTGCAAGATACCTGAATTCCTCTTTGGCACAAGACAAGGGCAATGGAGCAAGAAACTTTGGACAAACGACCTCTAAGGACCACTTGGGAAGTTCCTTTAGGAATGTTGTTTAGGACCACAGCAACAACTAGACTACTTCCATCAACCACTTTCACTTTCAACTGCGGATGCCTCCTTATGTAAAGTTCACCGTTATTATTCAGCTCCTCTTCCTGTTAGAACGTTACATTGTGTGACATTGTAAGTATCAACTGGAACCCTCTTTCGTCCAGCCAACAAACATTGGATATAAGGTGTTGGGAGAATTTTTTTTAAATTCATTTTCTCCCTAATAGTGAATATCTGCCATAGCTAACAGAATGTTTTTCTCAGAAAATTGCATTTTAGGTAGAGATCATGCATTTTTCTTATATATAAAGTAAGGATGAGAATTATTCGATTTTCTATTGTCTTTACTTACCTGATTTAGGAGTCCAAGGCTCAAAACTTTTATGCCTTTCAGATCAGCTTCCATGATGGCTTCCTCAATCAAATTGTTAATAGTATCTCTTTGCCCTTGCATAAAGTACTGAACAAAATAAAAAATTAGGTCAACTAGTCTTTAATAATGTATCCAGAACATACAAGTCATGATTAACAATAATTTCTTACTTGTTTCCTGTATTTTGGGATAGCCCAAGTTTGTAATTTAAGATTCCTGAATAAATTTCTCTCAACAACAAATGTTTGACCATAAATCCAAGTAATAAAAAACGACCATAGGGTAACGGGCCACATTAACCAAAAATACCACTTGGAAGCGTGAGGCGTCGAGGCCAAGGATGCAAACCCTAGTCGGAGATGGTAGATAGATTCAGGGGTTGTTAGATGTGTTAGGTGCACCACATCAGGCAATTCAGCTTTCCTCTCAAGTGACTTTTCATACAATGTATCTGACGACTTGTCCACTGTACCATACAGATAGTCATACATTGGCATGAAAAGTGAATAATTTGTTCTAAATTGAGTGTGATGTAGCGAGTGATACCTGTGCCATCAAAGAATTGACATTAGTTGTAATAAATAAAACAAAATCATCAGGGATTACTAGTCTGCCTAGTCAGTATGAAAAAAATACATTTGAAGGAAGACTTCTATTTCCATTTTCCCTTTTATTTCCTGGTGAACTAAACTTGGATACAAAATTTCTGTTCACTGAGGCGTCTAACTTTGTACAGAAGTACCAAAATTGCATCTTTTTTGTCACTTCTAATTAAACTGCTCTGCTACCTTCTAGATATGCATGAATAAATACGTCTCGGGGTCCCTGAATGTGAAGAAACATTAATGTTCTGGAAGTAAAAAAATGAAAAAGTTATTTGTGTAGATTATCTTTGTCGATCCAGTTTCCAAAGAGATCCAAAAGTGGGGGATTGTGCATTTGAGCCTTTTACTTTGCACTTTTCCTTCAAATTAGTGTTTCCTGATCAGTCATCTCCAAACCAAACTTCCAAAACAACTTCCCTCTTCCTTTCTGTTTCTTTTTTTTTCTCCATGGATATAATAATATTTTGTGGCCAACGAACTTTATCCACTGTAAAAGTAAGTCACCTTATTTGGTAGGTTTTGTCATTGGGTAAAGTTTAGTGACTTTACTATTGTAGCGAGTAAATTTCAACTACTTTAATGTAACAAAAAAGTTATGTGACTTTACTGTTATAGTCGGTAAAGTTTAGTTACTTTACTGTTCTACCGGGTACAGTTAAGTTGCTTTAGCGCGACAAAACAATTTCTAACTTTACCATTATAATGAATAAAGTACGTGAAATTTAACCCTTAAAAGTTTCTAGTAAATTTCTTTTACTTGTAACTGTTTCGAATTATATTTGTTCACCCAAATAAATTCCGATGATATTTCAAATCCCTGTTAAAGATAGCCATTGCAAATGAAAGTTGAACATGAAAAGACACAGCAGGGTGAAAAAACACATGGTGGGTGAAGTCTTGTCAAGGCAAAGACAAACAAACGTCTAAAGCATAGTTGATGCTATAACTATAAAAGTTTAAATATAGGGAAAACAGACTCACGAGGGCGTATATATCAAGTACTTGAGAGGGGGAAACATAGAGAACATCCACTTAGGAATGAGCTCAAAGTTGCAATGCCCCATGTTGTTCATGAAATCAACGTAAGTGATGTACGCACCAAATGCAGCTATAGAAGCAGTTCCAGTGAAAAAAGTTGTGACCCCCGGTATAAGAAAGAGCGTGTAATATGCTATGATCTCAGCAAACGGATGAATAACAGCTGCAACAATAAAAAACTTTGCTTTGTAATTATTTGCAGATAGGTCATTGATTGTCTTTGAAATTAAACTGAAACCAAGTGACCTATAAGCCAGCAGGCAGGTCTTTAATATGCAGAAAGCCAATCTACAAAGTACTTATATTCTCATCCATCCCATTTAAATCATATATATGAGTGACAGCCATTCTACAAGATCTTTTTAACATTATCTACTGACTACTGTCGATATTATTTTCTAGGTTACTATGTCAGGCTTAATATAAGCTCCTTGTAATATCTGATGTATTTTCTCCAAGACTGATTGTTCTTCCTCTAGAAAACTACATCAAATTAAACATATGATACAAAACGTTTACGAAGACGACTTACAAGTGATGGGCTCAGTAACAATGGAGGAGTGATGATGGGAATGATAACGAGAGTAGAGAAAATGGTGATGCAGAGCTCTGTGAAGCCAATAATAGAGAAACTCGACAGGACCGATATGCATCAAGGCAGTTATTATGATCCCATCAGTCCTCCACAAAGGCAAGTGATGAGTCTGTTGGAACTTCAGGTACGCAACGTAGAATACCATTCCATTAAGTATGATTTGATCATCCCTACAAAAATACTTCAACCTTAAATCAATTTTGTCATGTACAGTTTGTTTTGCACGTTATTTTTTGCTTTGTTGGATTCTTTTTGGACACTGTCGAAACCTAACCCGTTTGGATTGGCTTATTTTAAGTGCTTTTAAGCCAAAATGCTTTTAAGCCATTTTGTAGTGTTTGGATAAAGTAAAAAAAAATGCTTTTAAGCACTTGTTTTTAAGCTAAAATGACAAAAACAAGCCCAAAGCCAAAAACTAGAAATCCTAACTTATGGCTTAAAAACTATTTTGGCTTAAAAGTTTCTTAAAATAAGCCCATTCAAAGGGCTCTAGTACTGTCAAAGCATGATTAGGGCCCGTTTGGATTGGCTTAAAAAAAGTGGCTTTTAAGTTAAGTGCTTAAAAGCACTTTATAAGTGATGGAACTTGTTTTATAAATAAACAGTTACGTGTTTGGATAAAAGTGCTGAAACTTAAAACAAGCTGATGAAGTGTTTGGTAAACAAGTGCTAGTAAGCACTTTTTCTTGTTAAAATGACTGAAATATCTTTAAAGTTGTTAACATTATAAAGAAGANGCTTTTAAGCCAATTTAGAAAAAGTTGGGTTTTCCAACTTATTGGTTTTGGCTTTTTTAAAGCAGATTTTAACTTTTTTAAGCTTATTTTTTGATTGCCAAACACTTCCACAAGTTAAAAATTGCTTAAAAGCTGGTCAAACCAGTTTTTAAGCCCATCCAAACAGGCTCTTAGACATGTGCGACCTAGTCCAAGATTCTGACTCCTATCAGGCGTATAGCTTTTCTTCTGGCTGAAACATTCCGATAACATCTTCAGCTGGAGAACACTTGATTTGCATCATAACTTTTAGTGCACAAAAGGGTCTTATTCAGCCTACTAGCGATATCTCAGCTTTGGGCTAGGCCCACAAGGTCTTAGGATATGTCACTAGGATCTAAGGTTTGTTTTCTTATATACCCAACAATCTCTTTATTTTTTGCTGTATATGAGATACACCACCTCTTTTAAAGATTCAACATTGTTGTAAGATGTGAGATTCACCTAAACTCAGTTGATATTTTGCCCTACCGTCTCTCTTAATGATGTGAGATTTGCTTAAAACTCAGCTTTCAGTTGAGAGTTGCCCAACCATCGCCTAAGGTTGTATGAGTGGTTCTGGTCTTCCCAGCCTACAAGGCATCATCTTTCTCATATTTTTGCCGATGTGAAAGTTACATAGAGTGTTACGTTAATGACCACCAGAGGTTCGATTATTCGTTATATAATCGAATCTTCCTTGCTAAGAAATTGGAGGCGACTCATTTTAAGAAATTTTCTCATTCGGACGAGGTTGAATATTACTACTTACTACTGCAGAGTGGGTGAGGTTGGAATGTACATACCAGTTTCGTTCTCTGTCAACTTGATCAAATTCAATGCTCTTGTCAAGAATCCGATTATCACCCTTGGTAGTCCTGTAGCGAGATAGAGATATCCATATCTGGTTGTGAATCACTCTCGAGAGTAGAAGTGGGAGTATGATTATGTATGCAATGTCCCTCTGACTTTCATCTTTGCCCATGAAGAATGAGTATATGCTATGACCCACAAATGGTGCCAAAAGCAAGTACTTCATCCCAACAATTTCATAAAAAAAAGAGTAGAGAGTTTAGCAAGTCTAGCTATAACTTCCTGATTCAGCACAGAATTGTTTAGAAGGAAGAAAAGAACACAAAGGTTTATGCATTTAAGTGTAAACTTAATTGTCAATGCCAATACTACGTAACACAAGTTCTGATGAAAACATTATAGCTAATTAGTTACTTACCTTTTACTTTTAAAAGGAAGAAGAACGAAAAATGTAACGAGTTCGAGTACCATGAGCATTTTAACAAAAGAGACGGTAGAACTTTTGAAAGCAGTACATCAAATCATATCATCAATCAAATTATATTAAAATTAGGAAGCTTCAAATGTCAAAGTTGAATTACTAAAATGTCCATAAAAATGAAGGACTATTTTACCCATTAATTATATAAACACTACTTCACTAATATTCTTGTACTAAAAAGTAAACTTACCTTCCAATAAATATTTTGGTACTGCTTAATGCAGCCTATTCAACTCCTAAGTATTGCTTTCATCTTCTGATACTTTATTGCAAATGTACGTACTATCTCAACCTTTAGAATGTCCATTCAATGTTTGCTCCTTTGAGCTTCCACCAATTATTAAAGATTCATGTATTTCAGCTTTCTCTCCCTCTTGTATTCACTTTATAAAATTGGATAATGAAATCAATTAAGAAATTCTTCTTACTACCATTTGTAAATTGGAAAAATTGTTTTTCTTATTAAAAAATTGTTCTTTTCATTTGCCATATCTGTTAACTGTCTGCAACACATTAACACCAATCTGTAAGTGTCAAATGAGGTAAAGATTTTTTTCTTTCCTGTTAATTTTACGAGTCTCGTGCAAATTTTACAATTGTTCTTGTTTTTATATAATATTTTCATAATTTTTATCATGAAAATAAATATCTTTTGTTATGAAAAGTTTGACTACTACACTATCCATATTGATTTTCAGTGAGAAATAGAGTTAATTTTGTTATTTTCCTTGTGTTGTAACAAGGAATTTTGGATTCAAAATGTTAGGCTAATTATCACGCCCGTTAGTAGACTTCACTTCTTTACTTCCTCTTCTATCTACTTTTACCACTAAGAAGTCATGGGGTTATGTGGAAGACTACTACTTAACTCATAGAACAATAGTGCCTACAATGTACGGTCAACAGTTAAATTGTCAATTGTTATCATTTGAATTTATGTTTCAATGATATATAAGTAGAAGAATATTAGACAAATGAAGAACATAACTTTTCAGGGGGGGGGGGGAAAGAAAAATTAAGTTTTTGAATACATATGACTAGGGGTGTACATGGATCGGGTTGATTTGATTTTTATCAGAACCAAACCAAACCAAACCAAACCAACTATATCGGTTTGGATTGGTTCGGTTTTGTCGGATATTTCGAGTTTTTTGTCACTTAAATATTATTTCAATCTTACTTTGTCAATTTTTTGATAAGTAAATATATGTTTAGTAAAAATATAAAAAATTGACAAATATATGATCTATTAATATATTTTTATGGGAGAATTTTCTTAGTAACACATAATAGTTATTTTTTTAGTCGTCTGACAATAATTTTTCGTTGATGTACACTTTCAAGGTGAACCGAATTTAGTAATTAAACATAGAAATCAATATGATACCTAAATAATAACAATCACTTCATATTCGAAAAAGATATAAGAATTTAATAGATCTTAACATATGATATGAATATGGAAGAGCAAAGAAATTGACGCATTTCATTAACACTTGAAGAGAAAGTGATCATACAACCCATTATTTAAAGTTAATAAATATGGAGCACTTCATATACTATTAAATATTATATCCTGCAAGATAAACCCAAATATTTTATAGACATTTTTTAAAGAAAATTCTATATAAAATCTTAAAAGTATATATAAAAATTATATATTTATATGTCGGTTTGGTTCAGATTTTTTTACTCGATACCAAATCGAATCAAATCAAACGTAGTCAGATTTTTTAATCGGTTTGGTTTGACTATTCGATTTGGTGCGATTTTTCGGTTCGGTTTGTACACCCCTACATCTGACTTCCAAGAGCTACATCCATTTTATAGAAATTTTAACAAATCATTTAGATATTTTTGATTATCTTCAATTTTAAAATGTTTGTAATGATTGATAAAGGTTATTACACGTGTTAAGAAACTAGTATTCAAATAAGAAAGAATATTTTCTTATAAGTTGTTGATTTAATTACTATTGCTATATTAGAAAGCACTAGAAGGAAGTGCCGTCTATCCCTTTCTTTATGGACAACCGTACAATCAAGAAATACGTATTCCAACAACAGAAAAAGAAAGAAGAGATCTATGTAACTTCGTAAAATTACATCATTTTAAGTCTAAATGCTTTCCAATAATATGTTTTGACCGCAAAAAAAAGAGGAAACAATAGTTAGTAATTCAAGAAAGAGTACCTTGAAATTCCCAAGGCGTGCCCATGGCCACTCTGTGAGAATGCCAGGTTTAGTAGCCATTCTTTTGTTCCTTCAACACAAAACTGGTAAAACTAAGTATTTGTAGCTTTGTTCAACTTGTTCTTTCCCTGTGTTCTCTTAAAAGCCTCTGCTTCCACTGCCTTATATATACTATTGAATCTTGTTATACAAGATTGCATGTACAAAATCAATCCTAATCACCGTATAATAATTTTGCATGCAGGAACAAACTATATTGTATAATAACTACAAGTTGTATTTCATATTTAAGTGACATAATCTTTTGTTTTGTTGGACCGTGTGACCTAGGGCTAAGCAATTACGAGTTCATCTAGCAATAGATTATGCTACATTAATTGTGTGTGTGCGTAGAAATTTGGAAATGCGCATTAAAAGTGTGTGACACCATGCCAATGCAACAGTTATGAATATAGTTCATAATGTGGAGATACAAAATGTAAGTGGCTAAAATAAATATAGTTCTACTACATTATGAATATTCCTCTTTATATGAATGATGCGGAGATACAATATATAAGTGAACTTCTTGAACAATGCACCATTGTTAAATCTTGCAAGCCTCCCCACCACCCAAACCTACCCACAAAAAATAATAAATAAAACCAATTTATAAAAAAGATGAAAAGAAGCATCATATATATCCAATCCTTCGTCTGTTTCATTTTATATGGCTGTATACGTGTAAAACCGAGCCCACTAAATACTTCGATTTTCCAGTGAGCGAAACGGAACAGAAACGTGACCGTAATGTATCGGAGTCAAAGCGAGGAGTCCCTCGTATCGGGGCTCGGGCAAAGCACCTGCCCTCGGGGGTATAGGGGCAATGTCCTCCAGGTTCGGTTCGAGAATCAAAATTTCGGAGAGCATTATCAAACAACTGCACACAACTAACAAAGGGCCGTGATGTCCGTGTCCGACCATATATCACGGCGTGAATCTCGACCCGTATTGATAAAAAATCAGTGATTACCGAAACAAAAGATTTTTACCTTTCTTAGAATTGTACTTAGGGTAAAATTCCCATACTATATAAAGGGGGAGTTTATTATTCATGAGATACATTGTAACACGCATATCAAGGCAATTTATTTCAATTCTCTTTGTCGTTCAAAGTTCTTATTTTTGTTCTTAAGTTCTTCATAAGTGCAAGCTTGGAATCGAGGGCAGGTTCCTCATGAGCCATCAACCGAGCTCGGAATCACTCTTATCATTGGTTTGGCCATTTATTACGTCTTTCATTTATTTAATCTAACGTCATTAATCACTCATATTGAATTAATCCACATATCCTTAAAATCACATATAAATTTTATTGTTATCCGTTTTTGAGGGTAAACAATGGTAATGCTTGATGAAATGTAAGTAAGAAAAACTTCTTGCACGTACCAAAATTGCCGTTAAACTTATAGTACGAAACATATCATGACGTTTAGTAGTCTGTTATTAAGGTCAAAATGAGAAATATAAAGTTAAAGAGTTTTCATAGTTCACTCTTTTGGAAGAAAAAAAATAAAAATTGAGATAAAATATAAATATATCTGGTGGATCAAGAGAAGTGACAATGTTATAACTCACATATAGTCAGAATTATATAGATATTGTAGAAGGAAAAATATTGAGAAATTGTATTTATAGACTTTTGATCTTTTTAAAATAAGGTGAATGTATTAAAATTGAGGGGAAAAGGCAAAAAGAAAAAGGTGAGGAAAAAAGATAGAAGTTGATTAATTGGTCTAAGAGACGTGACTTATCACATATTTACGAGGCATGCAAATTCAATATTTTTCCAACCACAACTACTAAGTGTTCGGAAAAGTTGGTGTTTATTTTTCTTTGGTCTTCTTATGAAAGTCAAAATATTTTATCCCTTGTTCATAATTAATTGTGAGGTAACCTTTTTCTTTTTTCCAGACAGTGTGACCAAGGGATAAGCAACCATACATGAGTCGACACTGTCGACACCTAGCAATAGATTATGCTACATTAATTGTGTGTTTTCGTAGCAAGTTGGAAAATGTGCATTTAATAAAAGTGTGTGAAGCCATGTCAATGCTACGATTCATGTCAAGAAATGATGCACTTGGTGATGGTAGAGTAAACCCTAACACCTATAAAAAAAAGTTACAGAAATAACACGAAAGTTGGTATATCTCAAAAGTTAGTGTTGCTCATTTGATCTATCATTTTCACACCCAAATTAAATATTTCTTGTTAAATTCCTTATTTTATTGTGAGATTTTTATAGTTTTTTTTTCTATATAAGTTTAGTAGTAATGTTTAATTTAACAAATGAGACATCATTGTATCATTGAGATTTTGATCATATGTTTTTTTTTTTTTTCCAAATAACATATCAACGACAACTAGTAATTGGGATGAAATGATATTAGAAAGAAATTGATTCAACTGTGACGGTTTTGCAAAAGTATAATTTTACTTGAACCCCATAGGTTAATTGAAAATTTAGTACAAATTACAAAACAAATTTCCGCAGATAACTACTAATTGAAAAGAATCATTTACACCCCTACTGAGGCACATAGATTAGATTCTAACTAGGTGTCTTTTCTAGCCGATACGACATAGCGGTCCTTGAACACCAATTTACAAAGTTTTGATCACTACATTTATTACTCTCAAATGTCAAAGGAAAAAAGGAATGTCATAATTGTTGCTTTAGGACTAGTGTTTTTTAATTCTGGTAAAAGTTGGCAGCCAAATATAGCTGACATTATATATTTCTTATACGAATTGTAAACAACAACAACTTGTAATTGGTATAAGCAAAATAGTTTTCAGAAAATAATTGATATTTGGTGTGTAGTTGTCAAAAAATACTTGTAAGGAAATTTCTTTATTAAAAAATAGGAAAAAACGACTTCAATTTTCTCATTTCTGCGCAGAAATTATTTTCTTTCACAACCATCGCAAATGTTAGCTTTATATCATTATTCCATTTCCAACCAACAGAGAAAATGACAAAAATAGTTCCTTATGTTTGAAATTGATTTAAAATAGTCCTTTAAATATATACTTCTGAATAATTTTGTGTCACGACCCAAATTCCCCTCCGTTTGGTTATCGTGATGCACCTAGTCTTAGGGACTAGGTAAGCCTAACACTAATTGAAACAACAACATTATCTAAATAACATCCAACAATTTGAAATAGAAATCTTTTAAAATTTAAAATTCCCAAAACCGGTAGTACAAACCATAAGCTCTACAGAGTGTTTGCTAGAAAACTTCTAAATACAACTGTCCAGAATTAAGAATAAACAGTGCCAACAAAAACTTGAAGGTGACTCTGAAGCATGCGAACGCAGCAACAGGTTTACCTTGAGTCTCCACAGCAATGACCCACACAACGGCTAACAAACAAATACCTGGATCTGCACAAAAATGTGCAGAAGTGTAGAATGAGCACACCACAGTGGTGCCCAGTAAGTATCAAGATTAACCTCGGTGGAGTAGTAACGAGGAACAGTAAAGACACCCACTGGTCTAATAAAATGAACAAGTATAAGTATATGAACAACAAAAATATGATATCTACATAAAGACTATGCAATATGGCTCGCAATACAGTAATAGTAATAAGAAAGAAAACAACAAGTATCAGCGGAATACCATAAAAATGACTCAGAAAAGTAAATGGAACACAACCTACATCCAAAAACACAAATACAACAAGTACAAGTAATAACTCGGCAACTACAACCGCTTTTACATCAGGTTTTAGTCATCAAACTCCACGAGGTACCGAACCTCAGACAAATCATAACTCATGGGTCTCAATACCTGAACCCTAACACTTGGCATCCTGTGCCCTCATTACACTTCATAACCACACTGACGACTCACGTGCCAATAGAGCCATTCTCACATAGAAGGCAAGTAAACAAGGGTGAGCATCTATGCTCAACAATATCAAGAACACCTCTTACCCGATAAGAGTGCTTAACTACGTGTATGCTTGTGCAAGCGTCCTACCATAGTCCATATCAGCAAATAAGCATAAGGAAAAATAACGGACATTACGTAAAATATTGTCTCATAGCTTTTACAAGATAAAGCACACACATGTACGTATACCACTACATAAATATCGACAACAAGAATGCCCCCAGGCCACAAATCATTACAAATCAATTCCTAACAGAACCCACCTTGTCTCGCCACATGTGCAATAATAAAGTAAGTGTCTGCCTTGTCTAGCCATGTAAACCCCCCCCCCCCCCCCCACACACACATATATATATTTTGCCTTGTCACACCGCATGTGCAAATATCAATAGTAACAATAGCACGACTGAAACTTCATGCAACCCCATAACAACAATCGCATGGCAGAAACCTCGTGCATCACAATAACCACAACCGCCCGGCAAAAATCTCGTGTATCACCACAACAAGTACAACAACAACAATGGTAATAATACAAGGTACGACAAGTAAATCACTCAAGAACTTTAAATCACATGAAACAGTAGAACCAATTCCCAAGGAATAACCACAGTAAAGAATGCTAGGCGTAAAGAGATCAGCTCAATAAGGAAAAACTAATATGCAACAACGATACCATAATATATATTTCAACAACATGGAAGCTAACACGAGTCAAATTATTCCAAATAAAATAAGTCGACTAAGATATAGGATATCTAAACTTCATTTAAGGTTGAAAAATTACGAAAAATATTCAACAATTTAATTAAGGATAAGCAGCGTAAAGATAATCATAACCTCAATTAAGACTGAACAATTATAGGATGAGATAATAATGATTTCAAATAAAGATAAGCAGATATGAAAAGATAGCATGACAATAGAAGAGGTAAAATCTTCAGTTAAGTCAAATAAGAGTGAATCTTGAAGCAATTAATTCTAATTAAAGTATGTAGAGGTGAAAATAGTAAATAGGAACTTAATCATATCAAGAACAACTTCATACTCGGTGAATATAAGGACCAAAGAAATCCTAAAAGGCCAACTTTCAACAAATAAGTCCGAGCACGCACTCATCACATCGCGTACATGCACTACAATCAATATAGAAGACTCAAATCTTAAGGGAAAAATCCCCCCACAAGGTTAGGCAAGATACTTATCTCGAACCAAGATCAATAAGTCTGTAAGAATGCCCTTTTTTTCTAATTATCCGACTCCGAATGGTCCAAATATAGCCAAACACAATTGCATATCATGAATACAACCATAATAGACTCATCTAATTAATAAAATCAATATTTTAATAAAAATTCCGAAATTCGCCCTAAAAAGTTGACCCAGGCCCACGTCTCGGAATCAGGTAAAAATCACAAAAATACGAACACCCATTCACTCACGAGTCCAACCATATAAGAATTACTCAAATCCGACCACAAATCCCCTTTCAAAACTCGAAATCCTTAATGAAGAAGTTCTTCCAATTTTTCCCAATTTCAACCCCAAATATCCGAAGTTAAATGGAGAAAACAACTATAGATTAATGGAATACAACCAAAAACGAGTTAGGAATCATTATCCCAAAGCTTTCTCTGAAAATCCGTCGAAAAATCGCCAAATTTCGAGCTCTCAAGTCCAAAAACGAAGAATGAAATCAAACCCTCGAATTTCTCTTTTCTGCCCAGGCATGACCGCACCTGCGACATAAGTAGCCGCATCTGTGCAACCGCAGGTGCGCATGTCCAACTGCATCTGCGCTTCCTCTCGCTTCTGCGTCCCAGAATCCGCTTCTGCGGTGTCGCTAATGCACACAAAATCTCCGCACCTGCGGAGACTGCCAAGTCTAGCTCTTCTCGCACCTGTGCCTCCATATTCCCACCTACGACCATCGTACCTGCGCCCAAGGTCTGCAGGTGTGATTACACTAGAACGCAGACCTCTTCACAACCACAAAAAATCATTCGAAACCCGTCCGAAATACACCTCGGGCCCCCTGGACCCCGTCCAAGCATATAACCAAGTTCCATAACCTAACACGGACTCGCTCGAGGTCTCAAATCACATCAAACGACGCTAAAATCATGAATCACCCTCCAAATTC